TTTATTTATATTTGCTCAGGTAAAACAGTCACGATCGGAAAATAAATAAGAAAAAATATTTTTGACAACTATTTTTTTCTTAAATAACTACTAATCTTTTTAATCGTAATATAGTATACTCAAATGATAATAAGTATAAAATAAATTTTAAAATAAAATTAGAATATGCGTGGTAGTATAATAGCTATATAAAACCACAAAGGTATAAAAAGCATACCAACTCAAATAAAAAATAAATATGAGATTGTGTCTACATGTTTTCATATTTTTTTATTGATTTTTTTCTTGAAATGTTTTGTTATGGAGTTTTTGGTTTTGATTTGATTTTAAATTCTATAATACTTATTTTTCATCGCTTTGTATCTATTTTATTTTTATTTCTCTAATTCCCTTCTTCAATTAGTTAAGTGGGATATTAAATTTGATTTCTACATTCTTTAAGAACCTGTTCTTTGGGGTTCTCTTCTATAAGAATGACACATTGTTTCGTTTCAATGATAAAGATTGTCAAGATCGATTATTGCACACAAGAATCCGTGCTAAGAAATTGGCCTTAGATGGACGAACGTACAAAGACTGTATCGGTAGTAGCGTCAAATTGTGAACTTAATTTAACGTACCTTTCAAAGATGTCTGAGAAAGGTTGAACTTGTTTTCCGGTTGAAAATCTAAATTCAACTTAATTTGTAGGGATTTATGGATTAAATTGAACTATGAACAATTCAAGAAAGATTAAAAATAAAAAATGTTAAAAAACACCTCTAAACAAATAAGAAATATTAAAAAAATCATTACTATATACCTTTATTCAAAGCAGATATAAATTAATTTGCCTTTAATGTGATAAATTTTCCCACTTCATTTAGGTAGGTTATTAGATGGGTTTTTCGATTGATTTTAGTATGTTTTAACATCCTCGAATATCCAGCAATTTGAGTTTTCCATAAAGAAAACAGAATCTTTTAAGAGATTTTGTTCGTTAGTAGAGCATGAATCGGGGCAGTCTTGTTTTTTCTTAGGAGATTTATGAGAGAGATTTATCGATAATATGACATAAATGAAACCAATATAAAGAATTGACACTGTTTTATGTTTAATATTAAGATAATAAATTAGTAGATTTATTTCTTATATATTATTGAACTTTTATAACTTTTACAACAGTTGAATTTCTAAGAGGTAAAATATGAAAAAGATAGATGGAACTTGTTTGTTGATAGATATCATGAAGGTCATGTTGGGTCTAGAGAGAGAATGAGGTTCATCGAAGAGACACAAATATCAATTAGATTTAAGTTTAATCATATAAGAAATTGACATCACCCTTTGTCTTAAACCTTAAGATAATAAATTTCTCATAAACCCAGCTTAAACAAGGTAATCAGTTTCAACCGTTCTTAACTTGCTCAGGTATACTTTGAGTACGTGAATTTACCATCAGAAACCCCTCCTTCGCAACATACAGTGCAAGATCATGCACCAAATCGTGTACTTTGAAAAAATAGAAGAATCCATAGTCAGTGAAATCCTGAAGATAAGATCTTGAATGTAGCTCTTTTAAATATTGTCTTTTGAATTCCATCCGGGGATTGAAGTAGTCAAAGTACGCCCAAGGATTGTGTTAATAAAACGAAAATCTTAGGGAAAAAGTGAGAAGTAAGCAAAACGTGCTTCAGTTGGGGGATCATTGTTAACATTACTTGTCCACTAGTTTAGCTTTGATTTATTAAAGTTAGTTATGACAACTATTTTGTATAAACAGAACAATTTTGTTTAGTTCAACTATTTTAACTAAAAACTATTAATTGAGCGACAGAGCTCACGGAGAGAGAAACCCTGAATTTTACTACTACCACTTTTACTAAATTCAAGCTTTGTTATCTCTATAGTTTTTAAATTTAGCTTGAAAGTAACATGTAATTTAAGTAAAAAAAATAAAAACACAAAGCACGGACAAATGTGATCTTACAATTGCAATCTTTATTGATGATTGTAAATTTCGTGTATGCTTCACCTGTGGTGGTAGGTTTAGGATAAACTTAGATTTTTAGAGATTCATTAAAATCTTATTTTATTAGTTTTGGATTTAGTAATATTTGGTTTGATTTTGATAAAGATAAAATAGATATAGACAATTTTGATTTTCCTTTTATTTAGAAGAGTATTATTTTATTTTATTGATATAAGATAGAGATAGATTAAGTAGATTTTATTTTAAGTTAATTGATATTCTATTGTCAGTTTTTATTATTTGTACTTGGCCCAAGACTCTATTTGTACCTATTTAAAGGTTATCAAGGTTCAATGAAAATTAACCCAGTGAATTGAAGAGTCAAATTATTTGTGTGGGTCACGTTTCTTTTAACAAAGTGGTATCAGAGCTTTATGCTCTGAGTACCGAAAAAGAAAAAAAAATAGAAGAAAAAGTTAAACACCGTGAGGAAAAAAGTGAGTGCTTGTTTTTTTTGTGAGAGATGACAAAGGTAACGGAATGAGTGTGCCACAATTGTCAGAAAAGATAAATTATGACAATTGGTCTTTGCAGATGAAGGTTCTTTTTGGATCCCAAGATATATGGGACATAGTAGAGGAGGGGTGCAATGAACCCGCGGATGATGAGCATCAAACAATGAACCAGATTGCTACATTGAAAAAGACACGACAGATCGACTTTGTACTTTCTTGGATTCAAGAAAATAGATAATGCAAAGTCATCAAAAGAAGCATGGGAAATTTTAAAGGTGGAATACAAAGGAGATACCTCCGTGAAGCATGTCCGAGTCCAAGCCCTTAGAAGAGAGTTTGAACATATGGAGATGGATGAAAAGGAAGGAGTTGGCGAGTTTATAGCTCGAGTGCAGAAGATGGCCAACCAACTTGGAATGAATGAAGAGGAGGTTCCTCCTAACCGGGTTGCGGAAAAGATTCTTGAGAAATCTGACGGATGATTTTGAAAGTATCGTGGTCACTATTGAAGAGAAAAAGGATTTGTCAACTCTCATTGTGGAGGAGTTAGCTGGGTCATTAAAACCCACGAACTAAGGAAAATGAAGAAAAAGAGGGAACCCGACGGTCAAGCACTACATACATAGTTTGACTCGAATGAAACTTAGATTACTTAGAGCTGAGGTCCTGAAGGCAAAGGACGAGGTGAACGTGGCCGAGGTAATTTTAAGAATGAGAGTGAAAAGCAAACTAGTCAGTAGAATTGGCGTGACCGAAGACAAGGGAAAGGCTGAAGAGATCAGTTAGGAGTTTAGTGTTTTACGTGTGGCAAGTATGGCCACTATGCAAACGAGTGTCAATAAAAAAAGTGCTACAATTGTGGTAAGTCTAGTCACATTGCTAAATTTTGTCTAGCTGAGAAGAAAAGTGAGAGAAACCTTCTTACGGAAGAAGAATATGAAGAAAAGTTTAGAATCTTGTTGATGGCAAAGAGCTTGGATGCGGTGGACATGGAGAGCCCGATCTCAAAAGTGGATAAAGTGATCTCTATAAAGGATGCAACAATTGTGGAGAAGGAAAACCTAGAGGAAAAACTCAAACAAAAAGATGAAGAGATTCAACGGATATGGAGGCTTCTAGATTAAGCAAATGAGATTATGAATAAACAAAAGGTCGAGTTTAAGGAACTGAAGAAAGCAACTCTTGACAAGGAGGAAGAAGCATCTAATGTTCTTGAACCAGATGAAAAAGAGAAAGAGGAAGATGAAGATGTTGAGAAGAATCAAGGTATGAGAAGCTCGGATATTGAGATAGCAAAAAATATATTGATTAAAATTTCAGAGGAGATGAAGAAGTCGGCCAATGTTGTTGAGAAGTCGGCTAAGATTATTGAGAAATCGCCTAAGGTCAGAAACGAGTTTGTCGAGGTTATTAGGAAGTCAGACATAACAAAGTCAGTCAAAGTAAAGAGGTCTACCAAGGTAAAAGATAGGAGGGCCAGAAGAAAAAAAAAGAAGTCAAATCTGATTGAAAAAAGCAAGTCTAGTATGGATGATGCACATGGAAAGCCAAAATAAAGGATGATGAAAAATTTAAGTTTATGGAGAAGTTTTGTTAAGATAAACTTAAATTTTAAGGATTCATTAAAATATTATTTTATTAGTTTTGGGTTTAGTAATATTTGGTTTGATTTTGATAGAAATAAAATAGATATAAATAGTTTTGATTTTCCTTTTATTTAGGAGAGTATTATTTTATTTTATTGATATAAGCTGAGATAGATTAATTAGATTTTATTCTAAGTTAGTTAATATTTTATTGTCAGCTTTTATTATTTGTACCTATTTAAAAGTTACCAAAGTTTAATGAAAATTAACCCAGTGAATTGAAGAGTCAAATTATTTGTATGAGTCAGTTTCTTTTAACAGTAGGTCTATATTTTCCAACAGGCAAACGGTTGAACTACATTAACATTTTGGTAATTTCTTTTCTTTTTTTCTTTTCCAGACATGGTCTAAACAACATCTATGGATTTTTCTATGTTGATGAAGCTTTCAGCAGTTTGTGAGACTAAGTTTCATTATCAGGAAAAAATTCCTCCCAGTGCTTATGTTCTTGATATTGCGTACAATATGATGCTACTCCATGTTTATTTTTCTCAATAAGTAAATAACTTTGCAGGGGAACTTCTTGATGGGAATTAAATTATTAATGGATCTTTTATTTTACAGTTGTATCCTGTGAGAGATTGGTTTACAGGATCATCCTTGCTTGTTAAGTTTAGCCCACACTTAATAACACTAACTAATGGAAATAAAATGTAAAAGATAAAATATCTGGATAACAAAGCATTTATAAAAATTATATTAAAAGTTGTAGTAATGCAAACTCTAACATAAAAAGCCATAAGGTATAGTGCAAAAATAGTTATGTGTGTTTGTATTATGTAATGTGTGCCCACGAAGCTCGCGCATTAAAATTTCTATATATGTCTTATACTTCTACGTTTCACAAGTGAAAGACAATGTTTAACTCACTGAAATGTATAAGTATAGATGAAATACTGAAGTATGTCAATATTAATGATAGACAATGCAAAGCAGTTAAAAGGAGCAAATATAGAACTATTGCACAACTATATCATGGAGGTCTCTCTAAATTGAAATGCCTTAGCTACTAGCTCCAACTAATTTTCACGAGAGAAAAACTGAAAACCACACAAAGAAAATCAACATTATAAAAAACACATACAGAAAATAATAAATAGAGAAAATAAGGCGCTTCCGACTATGTCTGGCTCTTTCTCTTGTTCTTCTCAGGTTCTTGTGGTTCATGAATCACAATGTCTTTGATGTGTGATATTTTGGGCCAAAACCCTCCAACATTGGTTCATATATTTTATGTAAGTTAGGACAACCTCTAATTCTCAAACTTTCAAGTGCAGTGAGGTGATGAATGTTATCTGGCAGAGATACCAGATTTGGACAATTTATTAAATCAAGTGCTTTGAGATCAGTCAGAGTTGTTAACCAATATGGAAGTCTTTCAATATTGTCACAATTTAAAACATACAAGCGCTGCAAGGATTTGCTAGCTTCCTGAAGCCATTTAGGCAGGGCCACCATCTGTGATAAACCGAAAAATAATACAAGTTTTAGCTTCAGCTTCGGGCTTTCTTCTTTATGGTGGCCCTTACTCTGTCCCAAGTCCAAGTTACCGCAGTTCTTAACAAGCAATGTTTCTAATTCAGGAAAGTTTTGACCATCCAGAGACAATGATTTTAGACTTTGACAATCCCCAACGCATAATGTTTTAAGAGAAGGGAATTTCACCCCTCCAAAGATTTGACCATCCAGAGACAATGATTTTAGACTTTGACAATCCCCAACGCATAATGTTTTAAGAGAAGGGAATTTCACCCCTCCAAAGATGGACTCCACATTATGGCACCATTCAATGCTCAAGTATTCAAGCGACCCCAATTTGGCGATCTCATTCACAGGCAAAACAATTTGCTTTGTGCTAAAAAACAAATAACGGAGACTGATTAATTTTCTTAATCCTTTGGGCAATACTTCCAGCTCTACGCATCCCCTAATTATCAACACTTGCAAACTTTGGAGCTTGCAAATAGAATCGGGGAGTCTCTTAATGTTGAGATTTTTGCTAATGTCCAAATATCTCAAATGCTTCATCTTAGCAATGGTACGGGGCAAAGTCTCTAATGTCAAACCACGTAAATCCAAAACTCGCAAGCATTTGAACTTTGACAGACACGTATTTAGTATAGCTTCTCCGTTGGCACCTACTGCACCATTTGGAAACAGTACGGTTCTCACAGCTGCTGATTTTTTTATGACTAAATTGTCAAACAAACTGTTTCCAGCAAAAGACAGATGCCGAACATTTTCTGGAATATTTTGAATGTTGAAACGCACGTGTAGACACTCATCCGTCGCAACAAATAGGGCGAGATCATGCACCAAATCATGTATTCTAAAAATGTAAGAAGTGCCGAAGTTTTCAAAATCTTGGAGAAAGGATCTTGACAGGAGTTCATGCAAATATTGATTGGCCACATCTTCAAGTGTTTTATTCGTTTTTGGTAGTGTAATGAGCCCATGTGCCTCCCAAAGCGCAGTCATTTTATAACTATTGAATAAATAATCCTTTGGGTAAAGGGAAAACAATGCAAAACATTGCCTCAAATAGGATGGCAAGAGATCATAACTCAGTTTAAGGGCAGGTAAAATGTCATCTTTTTTCTGAGGCAAATTCCAGATTTCACTGTCACTCACATATTCCCATTCACTGTCCTCAAATTTGGAGAATAGTAAACTACCTAATGTTCTCACTGCCAATGGAACCCCTCTGCATTTTTTCACAATTTCTCTGCCAATATTTACTAAGTGAGGATGTTTTTCTTCCTCTCCTTCTTTAAATGCCCACTTCACAAACAGAGACAATGACTCTTCTTTGGAAAGACCTTCTAAAATGTGAGAGGGAACTGTACCCATCATGGAAGCAATCGAATGACTANTTGATTGGCCACATCTTCAAGTGTTTTATTCGTTTTTGGTAGTGTAATGAGCCCATGTGCCTCCCAAAGCGCAGTCATTTTATAACTATTGAATAAATAATCCTTTGGGTAAAGGGAAAACAATGCAAAACATTGCCTCAAATAGGATGGCAAGAGATCATAACTCAGTTTAAGGGCAGGTAAAATGTCATCTTTTTTCTGAGGCAAATTCCAGATTTCACTGTCACTCACATATTCCCATTCACTGTCCTCAAATTTGGAGAATAGTAAACTACCTAATGTTCTCACTGCCAATGGAACCCCTCTGCATTTTTTCACAATTTCTCTGCCAATATTTACTAAGTGAGGATGTTTTTCCTCCTCTCCTTCTTTAAATGCCCACTTCACAAACAGAGACAATGACTCTTCTTTGGAAAGACCTTCTAAAATGTGAGAGGGAACTGTACCCATCATGGAAGCAATCGAATGACTACGTGTGGTCACTACAACTTTACTTCCTGCTCCACTTACTTGGATTAAATTCCTCAACTCAACCCATTTAACACGGTCTTCGTTCCATACGTCATCCAAAACAAGAAGAAATTTTTTACCGGAAAGTTTTCTTTTCAATTGGTTTTGCAGTTGCTCCAGATCCATCTTGTTCAAATTCTGTTGGTGAGGAGGAACATCTACATCATTGGCAGAATTGATGATTTTGATAACTAGTTGCCTAATGTCAAAGTCATCAGAAACACACACCCACATCTTCCATGGGAAGCACTCCTGGATCCTGTTGTCATTGAACACAAACTTTGCAAGTGTAGTCTTTCCCAAGCCTCCAATCCCCACAATTGGGATAACAGATAGAATTGTATCATCATCATTAGGATTCTGCTGCATCAAAAGTTCTATTATCTTTTCTTTATCGTGTTTTCTTCCTATCACATCTGAATCACTCACACGGGAGTGTGTCATATCTCTCCGATGAACAACACGTGTGTCAACATCAATTATTTGAAGACTAAACTTATGCCTATCCGCTGCAACCTTGTCTAGTCTGTTGTTGATATGTTTAATTTGTCGTGCCATCTTGCAACGAAAAACAAGTGGATTAGAGGTTGAGAGGAAGTGACTTACCTTGTCTTTGGTGCTATCATGAGCTTTGACCACTTTGTTTCGCAGTGTTTGGCACTCAAATTCATCCAAAACATCTTCAGCTTCGGAGAAGACAATTTTAAGTTGAGTGAGCCATTCGCGGAGTTGGTGGTTGTGATCTTGCTTTTGCTGAGCATCTAACAGAACAGCCTTGACTAAAGAGAGAGTCTTTGTAAGGTCTCGTAGATCGTGGTATAAACCCACCAATCGAGAAGCTTCTTGAAAAGCATGAGAAGCAAGCTTTTCTATGAGTGACTCTGCTATGCTGAACAGAAATGATTCAGCCATAGTTGTTTGAAATACGAATGGCAGAGATGAGATGGGAAGGGAAGACCGTGTTTATAAGTCATCTTTGCTGATGAATGGATTACAACTAGCCAATAATTAATGCCACTTGCTTTTTCCATGAATTTATGAAAAATATTGCTTTCACACACAGAATTTTTACATTCAATATTACATTTTCTTATTTTCTTATTTTCTTATTTTCTTATTTTTTTTATTTTTTCTTTTAAAAAAATACAAAAATTTATATCCAGAACGTATTTTCTAATCCAACTCAAAACGAAACAAAAATAGAAAAATTATAGCTTTAGACAATATTAATTTTGAGAATTCATATCCCAATTGCGATTAAACAATATTTTGGGCCATATAATTCTACAGTGGAAAAAGTCACAAGATGAACAGAATATTTTGTAGGACTAGCTGCCATTAGTCACAGGATGTTATCTAAACTTTTCTTTACAAACTGCAACACCAACTAATCTGGCCGAATAAACATGTTCTCTCTCCCCTTTCCACTACAATATTATACATTTTTCTTTGGATTACATTAGCGGTGACTAGAGCTGTCATTTTAATTTGAAACCCCAAGTCCAGTCCTGACCCTTCTTTAAAATAAGCCCCATTTTCTTGGCCCACATTTCAGGGGGCTTTTTCACAGCCCCCGGCCCCAACAGCCCTATGAAAGAGATTGATATTGGGTTAGGGCCGGGTCAACCCCTTCACCCCAAACAATAGTTTTCGTGCACTCTCACAACTCCTTCTTCTGGCATCATTTCCTTCACATCTCTCACGAACTTTCTTCCCTGATCATTCTCTTACAAGCACAAACCTACTTCAATCTCTAAAATCCCAAGCTCAAATGCAAAGAACACTCCCCCATGATCCCAACATCTTGAACAAGCATGACCAATCGTTGCCTTCTACAATCAAGCAATCACTGTAAAAAACCCCAACTTCTTGGAACAATCTCCACCAATCAAAACCCCTTTTGAATTAGACCCTCCATTGAAGGTAAGTATATATATATTTTTTTAGCTTAGCTTTTAAATGTTGAAGTTGTAATATGTTAGTATGAAGAT